GAATGTGTATTTTTATTGATTGACAAAATTCTAACGTACATGAAACCAAATATGCATGATGATCTTTATGGAATGTTCCAACTTACAACGTAGAGTTACTAGTATTTTGGCAAAGGAAAAATGTATCTAATTTGGATTTTGGCGGATTTCCAAATTAGTTTGGTTAGCTTTAAATGCATTATAATGGACGCACTGAAATTAATATTAGTAACATGAATAATCAGGGACATTCAATAAGGGCCGGGTAGATCACATGCCTGCTCTATAATCAATGAGCTGGCTTTGTAAAATACCCAATTAAATTAGCCGTATATGGTATTTAATAATCAGGAAAAAAATTTGTAACTTTGCGTGAGATTTAATTTTTATATCTTCTGTAGATCCTAATTACTAAGGGTGTATTTGATCCCGGAAATGTTGGATTATTGAAAAGTTAGATTATCTTGAAGATTACTGAGAATCTTTAGGAATATGTGTTTAGTTAGTTAGTGGGTATGTTATATTAATATGTTTGGTTGTGAGGAATAAATTGATGGGTATGTTATTTAAATTACTTAATTGCCCTCTAATTAAATATTATTATTTAATATTATCATTTAGATTATTATTTAGATTATTTATAACCTCTTACATTTAAAAACTTAGCAAAAATAACCCTATAATAAAAGTTTGGAAAATCAACCTGTTAAAGGCCATCGATCTGGTCGTCAATGATCTAGCCATTTCTGGCCAGATCTCTGATCAGAAATAGCCATATCGATGCACAACGACCATATTGGCGTACAACGACTATTTTTGACCTTTCGTGCGCCATTCCGGCAGCAGCAGGAGGGTGGGGGTGGTGGCTTGGGTGAGTTGTAATTTGTTTTGAATTCAAGAGTAATTTTATTCAAAAAGCTAATTAATTTGGGTGAAATAGTAAAAGCTATATTCATATAAATTAATTTAAAAATAAGGGTATTATTATCCTAAAATTTTATTAATAAGAGATAATATTATAACCAAAAAAAGATTATCTTAGTAATCTTACAATACCTAAGAAAATTGAGATAATTTGATTACCTCTAATATTACCATTTACCAATAGTAATTATTATTGATATTTGAAAATTATCAGAATCTTATATTACTAGATAACCAAACGTTGTAATTAAATAATATAAGATGACATAACCTCAATAATCTCGTATAATCCCAACAAAACGCCCCTAATAGTTATGTTTCTTGCACCAAATCAAATATACGTTTTGGGATTATTTATAATATTAATTAATTAAAATTATAATCGTGTCTAGGAAACTGTGCGATTAGGTGTATTGTCGTACGTATTAAAAACTTCTTTGATGGAAGTTTTCAAATAATATGTTGTGAAGTTCAAGAAATTATCAAAAGTTCATTTTATAAAATAAAACAATAACATAACATGTGACATGAAGCACATGTAAAAGAGCCGAAGCTATACAGCTCCGTATCATAAAGCAACTACCATCATCGATGAACAAAACCTCAAAACAAAAATTAACACGTTTCGAAGTATGTAAAATCAGGTTTACATAATAATGCTCACCTTCTGAAATTTCCACGTGTCAAATACCCGATCATTTAATTAAAAACCTAACCATTTTGGTTACACCAAACCCAGTTTTGTAATTCCACTTCTCCTAGCTACCTTCCCCTCAAACTCTCACCAAAATTCACCATCACAACCCACGGCTGCCCTTGCCTCTATTCCTAACCATCCTTCTTAACCAATCTTCATTTTATTTTCCACGTCAGTACTTTTGAAAAATTGCCATGTCATCACAAATTCCCCACCTGTACGGACATGCCACCCTAACCCTGTGTATATATTTCTCAACTTAAAAAACCCCATCACCTGTGAGTTGTGATCCAAACCCTCTCTGTCTCTAAACATTACCCGACTCTTTTTATATTTCACATTTACTGGTTTTCCGCTCCTCGTATAACAAACTCGATATTTTCCGTTTGGACCAAAAATACTACAACACACTATAAAATTACATAGAGAGCCCTCCGATTTACCAGTGATGCCGATGGCGGCAGGTTTAGCATCGCCAACTGATCGAGCTCCAGCTATGGGGCCTACTGGAGTCATACCCTCACCGCCGGTAGTGATGATGTCCGATGCTTTCGCGAAAGACGCAATCATAGCCTGGTTTCGGGGTGAATTCGCTGCGGCAAATGCCATCATCGATGCTCTATGTGGACACTTGGCGCAAGTGAATGCCAGTGGAGGTGAAGGATCTGATTACGACCAGGTTTTTGCAGCGATTCATCGGAGGAGGTTGAACTGGATCTCAGTGTTACAGATGCAGAAGTACCACTCGATTGCTGAGGTGGCTGTCGAGTTGCGTAAAGTCACAGAGAAGAAATTAGACAAGAAGGAAGGCGGTGATCAGAAGAAGAAGGTTGATGAAATTAAGGAATGTTTAATCAATGAGAAAGTGCTAGAAAATGACGAGAAAATTGCAGAGGGCGAGAAAAAGTTTGCAGTTGAAGAGGTATCGGTAGTGGAAGAGGACGATTCACCGAACAGCGATATCACTGATTCAGGTAAGTATATTTTTCAAAGTTCTTTTAATCATTTTTTGAATTTTTATATTTCTCTAAATTTGATTATTGAGAATTGGATGGACATCTGAACTACAAGGTTCTTCAATTAAATCATAGTTTAATAAAGTTATTTGCCTTTTTTTTTTTTTTTTTCATTTGATTCTTCGTAATGCGGAGGAGGTAACTATGAAGGTAAATACTTTTTTTTTCTTTTCAATATTTCCTTTTTCCTTTTTAAGTTAATTTTTAATGATTTAACTTGAATAAGAAATAAAGTTTTTAATTTATTAATTCTATTTTGTGCGAGAAAAGATAGGAAAAGTTTTCGAATATGAAATCTGAAGGTTTAAGATGTCTGGTAGCCAAACATCAAAATATGCTTTTCATGATTTAATTCATTTTATATAGTTTCTTTCAAAATTAACAGTAAAAAAGGTGCAGTCCTAATCTTCTTTCCATTTTCTCAGGAACCAAACGTAATCATATTTTTCTCCAACCAATTCCTGATTCAGACCTCCGTTAACAAAATTTATCTGACTTTGAATTCAATGTGAAGTTAGACAGTGATAGATGTTATTTTGGCGTTTGAGTAAACTGTTAGTTACGCTCCGATTTCACTTTCTGATTTTACCGATTTTCCAAAATATTGAAAAAATAAAATATTTAATATAAACCAATATGGCTGGTATTTTCCCGAGGTCAAATGGAGTTGGAGATTTCGAGGTTTGAGAAAAGGTTTGGCTGCGTCCAGTATTACAGTTAGTTTGGGGAGTAGCGAATACAATTACGTTGTTGCAATTTTGCTTCGTTTTGTGTGCAATGATTTAATTGTAGGTGGCGCGGGAACCGTCTGATCTAGTTGACATCTTCTATGCGTAAGCTGATTTCTGATGGGTGGTTGAGTTTGGACATTTTTGACATTTAGGGTGCTAATGCCGTAGACAAATTAGACTCTGTGTGGGTCAGCTTGATTTATTGGGCCGAGTTGGCGGGTCAACTCCGGTGGGCGATCCAATGAAAAAGTTTGGAATTTTAGGAGAAAAGTTATGTTTGGTTAATCAAATTAGTTGATTCAAAATGGGGATAAAGTACAATGCTGTACTTTGTGTTTTTTTGTCCTTTCCTTGGTAGCATTGGTTAGCAAAATGTTTTGTCGTTTTTTAACTGTCAAGTAGGTGCTGATATTTACAAGTCTTTTAAGAAGTGTCGATTATGAGCGAAATATAAAATGGATGCAATAATAAACAGTAACCTGGTTAAAAATACGAATAATTGTTATCAGCTTCCGTAAAGGGGGAGGTTGCCTTTCCCATTACCTCCCAGAAGAAAAAGAAAATACAAGAAGAAAGTTTGCATAACTCAGTATGACTATGTAAGCAATTTCTAGGAATTTTTATTCTTATGAGATGGAAAGAGACTTGGTATTTGTATTTGTATAGGTAGTTAATGATTGTTATGTAATGAGGTTTTGCTGGAATTAGAAAGTTCTCAATTCTGTGCAAAACACATAGCATATGATCAGTATGATGCAGAGGACTTTTTTATCAATCAGGTTTCTTACTCGGGATTATATTTATCAGTTAAATAGATAAATCCGTCTCCTTCACCACGAAATCCTGTTTCTTCCTTCTGTTTAATCTTTGATTTTGCTTTAAATATCATCAAGAGAGCCTAGAAGTTTTGCAATCAATAAGGAGTATTTCTTATTTATGATTTTGCTATTAGTGTGAATTTCTTGAAGTCTTCACTTGTAAATGGTTAACAAAATGTTGGGTGCAGCTTTGCAAGTTTCTTCTGTTGATTTTCTTAGTCAAATGTTTTAACATTATAAAGAGTTTAAGATGGCTATTTTGTGTCTAGCCGAAATAGGAAAAGTTATTAATGTTCGAACATGTCACTTCTGTATCTATATTTGCACCCATCTATAATTGTCGTATTAGTATCTCAATTTTATTTGTTTGTTTGAATTCAGGATCTCTAGAAATGCAGCCCCCAACTGAAAATATTGAGATATGTTCAAACCACGAGGACTGTGATGAAAGACGTTCCCAAATTAACTTGACAAAAGGATTTACTGCCAAGGAGCAAGTGAAAGGACATATGGCGAGTTCTTTCTTTCACAATTTAATATAAGTTCTTTCCATAGAGAAGATGGATGTCAGAGAGTTGATATCTATCATTTCTGATACGGAAAAAGAAAGTATCTAGTCCGTTATGATTGACAGATTATTGCAACTGACAGGTGAATGTTGTGAAAGGATTGAAGTTATATGAGAACTTGTTCACAGATTCAGAGCTCTCTATGTTAACTGACTACGTGAATGAACTGCAACTTGCCGGCCAAAATGGAGAACTTTCAGGTTACCACTTTGAAGCCTTTGTCTTGTAATCTTTTGACTAATATACACTGCCTAATTGTGTAGATTTTTTCTGGACTATTAAGATGAAAAGTACATCTCGTATAGCTTTGTTTGCATAGGCAGTTATCCATTTTTTTTTTATCTTTGATAATTCTAAATAGCATGCAGTGTCGAGGAAGCCATGTCTTAAATCTCAAACTTAACTCATCCAGCATAATTTCAAGTAACAGCACCTTGAGCGAGTCTAGTAGATTGACAGCTAGTAAGGAATAGACCTGTGAACAAGGAGGTTCAAGGGAGGCACATGCTTTTCAGGCTATTGTTTTAAATTTAGGCCTCATGTATTGGTCTAAAACAGTTAAAAAATGTTTAAAGCGAAATTCATTATACTAACCCTGTCATTTGTTCCTATAGGAAAGCCTGTCTATTATACATACTCTTGTCGTTCTATAGGAAAATATTACTGCAAATTGATGATATAAATAACTGAGCATATATATTGTATATAGGTGAGACCTTTATTTTGTTCAACAAGCAGATGAAGGGAAACAGGAGAGAGTTAATTCAGTTTGGTGCTCCAATTTTTTCACACATAAAGGAGGAAGCCGCAAGTAACAATGAATTGGGTAAGACATACCTCTAAGTTCAGTATGTTTTCAACTCTTCAACTTTCTGATTGGTACTGGAAGTCGATTATACATAATTCACAGCAACTTTCAAGATTACCTTGTAATTGGGATTTTCTGTTTTCAGGTAATATAGAACCAATTCCAGCTCTTCTTCAATCAGTCATTGATCACCTAGTCCAGTGGCAACTGATACCAGAGTACAAAAAACCAAATGGTTGCATCATAAACTTCTTCGATGCGGTAACTTATATTTGCTGCATTATTGTGATTTTTCTGGTTTTGTTAGGAAGATAGAAACACAGCTTTCACAGATCTTTAGTGAAAGTTGATTTGAGCCTTCAGTTATTCGGAGAGAGTATGACATGAAGTCACGTAATTTTTTTTTTTCAGAGTGAATATTCACAACCTTTCCTGAAACCACCTCATTTGGACCAACCTATCTCTACGCTTCTTCTGTCTGAATCAGCAATGGCTTTTGGACGTAGTCTTGTGAGTGATAAAGATGGGAACTATAAAGGGCCACTCATGCTTTCACTGAAAGAAGGGTATGTATTAAAAGTTTTTTTTTTCATATGTTTTACAACATTGAAAGTTACTTAAAAGTTAGAAACTACAAAGAAAATTATAAATAAAAAATTAAGAAAAGTAATACTAATAAAATGAAGGACTTTGGGAGAGGGAGGTTGCAACTTCTTCAGAATCTGCTGCATGCCATGAAGAATGTGTGAAGTATGATACAATTTCTGTGGAAACAAATAAGACAACATCTCTCATTATTGAACTTATAATTCGTAGCCCTATTGGTTAAACAAGATTTTTAGAATATAGGTCCACTTTATAGTTCCTATAAGGCTGTCCATAGACAGAATTGTCGATAAAATCTGTAATCCTAAAAATCTTGCAGGTCACTACTAGTCATGAGAGGAAACAGTGCTGACACAGCAAGGCACGTCATGTGCCCATCTCCTAACAGAAGAATCAGCATTACATTCTTCAGAGTCCGACCTGACTCCAACCAAAGCCAGTCACCGCCAACTACTCCAACCGGTCCGCTGAATGGTGCCATGACTTTATGGCAACCGGGCATCACAAGCCCATATCCANATATAAATATAAATGTATTCACATTACTTTTTCTACAAAAGTTTTTATTAACCCTCATAATATTTAATTTTATTTTATATTAGTCTCGGTTCCTGGTTCCTGGTTCCGGTTCTGGTTCCTAACTATAGGAACCGGAACCGGAATCGTACAGTAACAGTTCCAAAAATTTGGAACCGGAACCTACCCATTGACGATTGGTTCTGGGTAGGAACCGGAACCAAACCCAGGGTACCTGCCGGTTCCGGTTCCAACCGGTTCTTTTGAACACCCCTATAATTTCCTTTCGCTAAGAAAAATGTAAAGAAAAAGAAAACAGAGACGAAGTAATTAACAAAGTTTAGAGAGAATTATTCTTAAATATTGATGATATTTTAGTTCTTAATAACTTAACGTGTGATTGATCTGATTACTTAGAGCATCTCCAAAGAACTCTTTATATGACCCAAACTCTTTATTATAAAAAGTCTATTTATAAAAACAAGAGTCCAATAGACTCTTTATTTTTAAAATATAAATTAGAGAATGAGTTTGACTTTCTACGTTTAGAGCATCTCCAATGGTGCTCTTTATTTTGAAGAACATATTTCATATAAATAAAGAGTATCTTCATTAATTTTAAAATATAAAGAACACAATTTTTATTCAAATCCAATAGACTTTTTAAATTTAATGAAGATGCTCTTTATTTTTAAGAAAGATACTTAATGTGAGAGAGAATTAATAAATAAAATACATAGGAACTTATAGTTTATTATTTAAAATTGGGATAGAGAGTGGAATTTGACTCTCTAAATTTGGAGAGTCATACTCACTCTCTAATTTATATTTTAAAAATAAAAAGTCTGTTGGACTTTTGTTTTTATGTATAAACTCTTTATAATAAAGAATTTAGGTCATATAAAGAGTCATTTGGAGATGCTCTTAGAGAGTTAAATTTTACTCTCTGTCCTAATTTTAATTAATAAACTATAAGTTCCTATTTATTTTATTTATTAATTTTCTCTCTCATTAAGTCTATTTCTTAAAAATAAAGAGTATCTTCATTAAATTTAAAGAGTCTATTAGATTTGAATAAAAATTGTGTTCTTTATATTTAAAAATTAATAAAAATACATTTTATTTTAATAAAATTACTTTTTATTTTAATAAAATTACTTTTTATTTATATGGAATGTGCTCTTCAAAATTGGAGATCCTCTAAGACAGCCTTTTGTCACGACCAGCCTGCTTGCCGACTCAAGCATGCTGCACGTTCACGTTGCTTACGGATTAAGTAAACTTCCGGGTGAAGCAGACTTAAGAGTTAAGTTAACTTAATAGCTAAGTTAACGACTCAGCAGCTAGGTTCGGCGACTAAGCACCTTCGTTTCCAAGGTTGCACACATGCGCGCCACCCACGAGCTTCGTTTCCAAGGCTGCACCAATGCTTGACACCCAAGGTTTTCTAATGCTGAAGCATGTAGCTTAGTCATACATTTATTTGAGGAGCTTGAGCCTATAAATAGCCAACTCCACCATGTAAAGTTCATAACTTGAATCCGATCAATATACAGAGTTTATATTTTCTCTATACTTCTCTCTCGTTTACATATTTTAGCCTGCGAGTTTGTGTGAGCGTTAGGCTGCTTAGCTCATTCCCGACGAGTTAAGGCCGCACGAACTTAGCAAAGAAGTTAAGTGCGTGACAAGTGGTATCAGAGCCTCGGTTAGCATAACCTCGGTTTTCATTCAATGGCAAAAGATATTGTCGCTTCCAAAGCAATCAAGAGGCGGAGAGATGGAGGCTTCCCAAGAACGTGGTCGTCCGGGGAAAGTCAACCCCAATCCCAACCCCTCAAGGCAGAGAGGTAAGTCCAAAGATTTTCTTTCCAGTTTGACTCACGCTTATCTGTGAGAAGAAAGGGTGAGCACGCAGTCGGAGGATCTGGATCATCGAGTGGATGATCTAGAGTCGGAGGTTTCGAAACCCACATTGTCGTGAAAGCTATGTTGCTTCAAATGGAAGAGTCGCTCAGGACTGAAATGGGGAGAATCCGTGAGGAGTTCGTAGGGGAGCTTGCCAAAAGCCGTCATGTGTTCCAAACCAAAATCAATAGCACACTGTTCGTTTAGACGAGGTGTAAGCTGATTTAGCGCGATGCAAGCGCGGCATGGTTACTAGGACACGGCAGCAGCGTCATTGAAAGCCAAAGGATTGACGTCCCAAGGCCTAGAAGTTTTGGTGGCTCACGCAAGGCACAAGAGGTTGATAACATTCCTGTGGGGACTAGACAAGTACTCGGGGCCGTACATGTCACGGAGGAAAGCTCGAGGATTGAAACTGCAGTCCTTTATCTCACAGACACCGCAAGGTTGTGGTGGAGGAGACGAGAAGGAGACATCGAAAAAGGTATTTGCACTACTCTACTTTTGATGATTTTAAAAGAGAGCTTAAACGGCAGTTTTACCCGGAGAATGCCGAGGATGAGGCAAGAGCTCGCTTGCGACGGATCAAGCAAACAGGGACGATCCATGATTATATCAGGGACTTCACTGACTTGATACTGGAGATCCCAGAGATGTCCGACAAGGACTCGCTCTTCAATTTCATGGATGGGTTGCAAACATGGGTGAAAACAGAGCTGAGGCGTCGGGGAGTGCAAGATCTTGCCACAGCCATAGCAGTTGCTGAAAGTTTGATTGATTACAGCACCAAAAAAGAATCCAGTAGCAAATCCAAAGATAAGAGGAGCAGCTTTGTAAAGGTGCGGGAGACAGGGGGCAATCGAAAGAAAGCAACCGAGACACCCGCCAAGAATCCTCATCCAAAGGCAAAGACAAGGGCAAACGTTGGGACAAGGGCTCCAACAAACCCCGAACAATTGCTTATTTGCAATGGGCCTCATTGGGTGAAAGACTGTCCGGAGAAGAAAGCTCTTACTTCCCTCATAGCCAAGCATCAGGAGGGCAAGCCAGCCGAAAGCAGTAGTGATGAGGCACATATGGGATCAATGCAACATACTCAATGGGATTCAGTCCGCACCAAAAACCCAAGCCAAAGGGTTGCTCTATGTTGATATAGCCATCAATGGGAAGGCCACCAAAGCCATGGTAGATACAGGTGCTTCACATAACTTCATTTCAGTCAGTGAAGCACGTCGGCTAGACATCAGGCTTCAGGAGGTGGAGGCACCATCAAGGCAGTCAATCAATGGCACAACCGATATAGGGAGTGGCTCGACATATCAAAACCACAATGGGGACTTGGTCCGGCTACTTGGATTTCTCAGTTGCACCGATGGATGACTACCAGGTTGTTCTTGGCTTAGAGTTCATGGAACAAGTCAGGGCATTTCCTTTGCCATCAACCAAACAGTGTATCATGGACGGGGAGCAAGCTTGTGTGTTGCCCACTAGCCGCTCTACCAAGCCAGAGACAGCAACACTCTGGCTATGCAGTTCAAGAAAGGCATCAATAGGAAAGAGGAAAGCTACTTGGCCATCCTTAAGCAATATGACGACGAGGAGCCAATCCCGCCAGAGGCAGTGCCCCGGGAGGTAGCACAAGTACTCGAGCAGTTTATTGATGCTCACCAAACGAGCTGCCAAAAGAACTACCACCTAGAAGGGAGGTAGACCATCAGATTGAGCTGGAACCAGGCGCCAAGCCACCTGCCAAGGGTCCTTACCTATGGCACCACCGGAGCTTGCGGAACTAAGGAGGCAGTTACGGGAACTACTAGATGCAGGGTTCATCAAGCCCTCCAAAGCTCCTATGGCGCACCAGTTCTGTTTCAAAGGAAGAAGAGGTGGTTCCTTGCGCATGTGCATCGACTACCGAGCACTAAACAAGGTATCTGTTAAAAATAGCTATCCTATTCCTTTGATTGCCGACCTTTTTGATCAGCTGGGGCATGCCCGCTACTTCACCAAACTAGATCTGCGGTCAGGTTACTATCAAGTGCGCATAGCCGAAGGCGACGAGCCAAAGACCACCTGTGTTACAAGGTATGGGTCTTATGAATTTTTGGTTATGCCATTTGGTCTAACAAATGCACCAGCCACTTTTTGCACCTTGATGAATAAGATATTCCATCCGTACCTCGACCGGTTCGTGGTCGTCTATCTAGACGATAGTAGTGTATAGCAAAACCTGGGAGGAACTATGCGACACCTCAGGGAAGTATTCCACTCTTGCGGGACAACAAGCTGTATTCAAGAAAGAGAAATGCTCTTTGCCAAGCCGGAGGTAATGTTCTTAGGTCACAAGATCAAGGATGGGCAACTTATGATGGAGGATGACAAAGTACAGGCCATTCAAGAGTGGGAAACACCCACCAAGTGCTGAAGTTACGATCTTCCTTGGATTAGTAAAATACTACGCCGGTTTATCAAAGGCTACTCAGCAAAAGCAGCCCGTTGAAAGACTTACTCAAGAAGAGCAAGCCGTGGGAGTACTTCATCAAATGGAAGGGACTTCCCGATACTGAGGCCAATTGGAGACCGAAGACCCATTGTGGTAGTTTCAAGACTCAATCCTGCGTATAAGGATAGTGGCGACGAGGGCGTCGTAGCATTAGGTGCGGGAGAATGTCACGACCAGCCTGCTTGTCGACTCAAGCATGCTGCACGTTCACGTTGCTTACGGATTAAGTAAACTTCCGGGTGAAGCAGACTTAAGAGTTAAGTTAACTTAATAGCTAAGTTAACGACTCAGCAGCTAGGTTCGGCGACTAAGCACCTTCGTTTCCAAGGTTGCACAAATACGCGCCACCCACGAGCTTCGTTTCCAAGGTTGCACACATGCGCGCCACCCACGAGCTTCGTTTCCAAGGCTGCACCAATGCTTGACACCCAAGGTTTTCTAATGCTGAAGCATGTAGCTTAGTCATACATTTATTTGAGGAGCTTGAGCCTATAAATAGCCAACTCCACCATGTAAAGTTCATAACTTGAATCCGATCAATATACAGAGTTTATATTTTCTCTATACTTCTCTCTCGTTTACATATTTTAGCCTGCGAGTTTGTGTGAGCGTTAGGCTGCTTAGCTCATTCCCGACGAGTTAAGGCCGCACGAACTTAGCAAAGAAGTTAAGTGCGTGACACTTTGCAGTTAATGAGTTTATAAATACAATCCTCCTGGTCAACCTTACGAGGAGTCTATCCTCTGCTTTACACAGAACAATTCAGGGCGTGATGTGTGCTTTGTGGCAGTCAGTTTCAGTAGCATTCAATGTGGGGTTTGGACTTAATTCCAAGTTGAATGGTGTATAGTTTGAGCCTTGACCTTTAAAAGAAATAATTCACCAACAAAATATCTCATACCGTAATGAATATGTGAGGAGTAAAATCTTGAGCAGATATGTGTGATATAACTCTAAACTCAATCGTTAAAATCGAAAACCAACCATCTAAATTGAAAAGTCAAACATTTTCTATCTTTTGACCAAAAATCAAGTTGATCAGATTAGAGATGACCTTCTGATCGTCGGTTGAAGGACGGACATACTGAAAATTTTACAACTCAATTTTTTGATTTAACTATCTTTCTAGAGACAAAACTACACAAAAAAGATGGTTATCACAAAATTGATCGTTAGATGTGAAGATATTGCCGTCAACAACAATGCTCTGAAATTTGAGCAAAAATAGAGCAAGATTTACCGTTACATCTCCGCTTAACCTAGTGTGGTTGCCTCCCTCTCACTTTTATAGATTTTTAATCTGTGAACATTACCCACATTTTTCGCTGTTCACCCACTAGAAAAAATCTAAAACAAGATGCACCTTTTTTTTTCATTCATTTCTTTTCTTTTTTATTTTTGGGCTTTAGGATTTTGGGCCATCCTCCATGTGAGGAAACCCAAGCCCAATGGACTTTAGTCTCCCACGCGGTTTTATGTTAAATTATTTTCTTTTCTTCCCCCGTAAAATGTGACTTTTTGGTATGATAATCAACACATTTTATGTACGATAACAGTTGATGCTTGCTTCGGAGTTTTTGACTATCCAAAGATTATACACGTAATGATATTTCTTTTATTTCCACATCTACATAATTTTGAAAATTAAATACTCTCGGTAATGTGCAATTCCTCAAAAATGGCAACTCTCCAGAAAAGATATTATTACTGGTGACTCAAGGAGTCATCGTGCTAACAAACTAATATGTTAATGTCTATTGTTCAAGTGTGGACTTAAATGGCAAGGAAATTTCCGAATGCATTCAAAGGTTCATGAAGAAGGGAAAAAGGCAAAGCTTAGATAAAGAATTTGGAGGAATTCAAGAAAGCTTCTGATTTTATATGTTAAGCATGAGTCTTGGTTAGAAAATTTCCTTTGCATAAGAAAACTCTCAAAAAGTTGATTTTGGGTTTCTTGAATTGAGGCCTAAATGTCATTTTTCAACAAGGGATTAATTTTTTTTTTGCTAAGTTTTAGATCTTCATAGTTTAATTAACCCATTAGATCAACTGATAGACATGGCAATGGGCCTCAAAATTATGGGGCCCGTCTCGACCTATCCTATATGGGGCGAGGATTCCTTGGTTTTTTTGGGGATAGGGGTGGGGACGGGAGGAGTTTTAATCTTTGTCCTTAGGGATGGAGCCGGGGTGAGGGTTGCCTTTCCACTGCCCCATCCTATATATATATATATATATATATGTTAAACCCTTGGATTATAATGGATGTTGTGTGTGATTTTTGCCATAAGAGCTCATAGATCTCGGAAGCTCACAAGGAGATAGTTCGACCCAGAACAAGCTTGACCCAAGAGCAAGCTCGACCTAAAGTCAGTTCGATTCAAAGTAAATCCGACCCAGGTGAAGCTCGTCATAGCGATCAACCCAAATAGCTATTCAACCAAATCAAAGATAAGCTTGAATCTCGGATATTTCGGAGAGGATATTAAACCCTTGGATTATAGTGGACGTTGTGTGTGATTTTTGCCATAAGAGCTCGCAAATCTCAAAAGCTTGTAGAGAGATAGTTTAACCCAGAACAAGCTCGACCTAAAGTCAATTTGATTTAGAGTAAGCTCGACCTAGGTGAAGCTCGCCATGGCAATCAACCCAAACAACTGTTTAACGAAATCAAAGAAAAACTCGAATCTTGGATATTTCGGAGGGGCTCAGACCAACATTACTGGCAACGCAATCCCAGGGCACAAACGCGAAGATCACAGGATTGCAAACCAACTCTGATTGCAATCCCGTACTTATCTCTCCTCGTTAATTTCAAACTTATATATAAACTCCCTAAAACAATGAGAGACGGGTTAGCAAATTTATTCAGGCATTCTATATTGTTCTTGTAATTACTCAAAAGCAATAAAATAACAGTGGATGTAGGCTCAAGTTCTAACTTGCCAAACCACTCTAAAAACCCTTTGTGTTCTTTACGTTATTAGACATTTTTTACATTCAATTGCTGGTTATCTTTAATCACACACACATCAGTTTAAATTTCATCAAAGTCAATCAGTTTTCACAGGTTGGTGCGAATTTCATATGAACAGTGGATAACTGTGAAAATTTTAAGTCAGAAAATTAAATTAAAATATTCATATTGGTTAAAAAATCAAATTACTTAGTTATATATTAACCCATTGGTATTCAATTTGTAATTTGTAATTACTATTGTTAATGGTGATAAAAGAATTCTTGAATTTTTTAAAAATTAAAAAAAAAAAAATGTAAACCAAGGATTTCCCTGTTCCAACGTAATTGGAATTCATCCGTGGAAACACTGAGACACAATTGAACGAATGCCTGAAACACAAGCCACTAACAAAGAAAAACCCAAGCTGGCATAAACCACAGCAACAAATGCACCAAAGTGACTCCTCAATGCTTTGGTTGCAAGACCAGTAAAGCTCACCTCTTCAACCCCGTCCTCTTCCATGGCTGCAAAAGTCAGCTCCGCAACCAGAAGGATTGACGAAATAACATAAACCCAAGACAGAAGAATAGCCATACTTGAAGGAAGTGAGCCTGATCTTATTGTTGCAGCCGGCAATCCCAACATGCCGGGCCCTACAGCTGTAACAATGATCAAACTAACAGCACCCCAGA